ATCACCTAGTCATGAAGAATATGGTGCGTCTTCGTTGGAAGAAAGGAGGGGAGGAGGGGAAGAGATCCTGCATGCGAAGGAAAAATGCGGAAGTGGCGCTTGCGTGTTTTGGGTGCGACTATGAGATGTGCTGGAGTATGGGTAACGTATGCTACGAGGGAAATCAGTACTAGAGCCCGCCACCACTTATATCAGTCTAAAACCAAGGTCCGAAGGTGCATCGGTGAACCGTGAGGAGGCCACGAAGGTCGCCCAGCTGAGCAGCTTGACAGACGAAAAAGCGGAGGGCTTGTACGATGATCTGCGTCGTATGATTGAGGACCAGGACGCCCCGCATAGGGACGCTGGAACTTCGGGGCACTCAAGGATAGCATCAGTAGCGAAGTACTTTTACGCATTTATTACGCACATCGCAGCTCGTACCTGTGCTTAGCGCCTAGATGGATGTCATTTACTTACAAAATGGCTGAAGCAAATTTCTACTTACCTTGTGCACAACATGATTGTAGTCCCACTTTGTCTGTCAAGATGTCGGCGACTTGCGTTTTGGCACTGCAATCACATTAGGTACTGCGTATCACCTAAATAGCATCTCCAGCGGAGAATTATACGTTGAGCAGAAGGCAGACTTCCATTCAGGCCTTAGAAATACAGGATGGCTATGGGTACAGAATCAATGGGTACAACTGTCGCAGAAAAACAGAAAAATGAGATCTATCACGCTGGTGTGACAGAGGGAGACATAGGAATACTCTGTATATTCTGCGTCTTCGCCCTCGTAAGCCTGCAATTCGAGGAATCATATAAGCGGGCGCATCGCAGCATATGAAGGTATGCTTACTCGTCAAAATGGGTGCCTCTCTTTGGATCGGCTCGTCTTTTGGCAAGCACTTTCCTGACCTTTCTCTCCGGGCGAACGACGATGATGGGCACGGGAGAATTCGAGAGGCAATACTTCGACACACTGCCCACACCTGGCGCGCCGAACGCCGCACCCCAGGCTTGCATCATGCCGCGCTGGCCTCTCGTGCCCACTACGATTGAGTCTGGGCGGTATAGAGCAATTAACCGCTCGAGCGTTGTAGTGACTTTGCCAGCAATAAGCTCGACGATGATAGAGAGCTATGATAAACACAATGAGAATGTATGCCGTAATGATAGCGACCGCTTACCTTCCGCTCTGGATCGTACTCGATACATTTCTCCTGAATCTGGCGCATAAGTTCACGGGCTTCTTCTCTAACGACTTCATGGTCCTTCTCTATGTTGTGATTTAACATTCGCAAGAAGTCCAGATAGTAAAAGCCACCTACCTAAATCCTCTGGATCAACGCCTCTGAAGATGATCAACTCATCACCGTCCTGCACCAAGCTTTCCAGCGCCCAGTCAAGAGCATAACGTCCACTCTCATCTGGACTCGATGCACAAAGAAATACCCTCGTCGCTCTGTTTCTAGCGTATCCATCTGATTGCACGTGCAGTGTAAATGAGAACATGGAAGCAGCGGGATTTTCGAATGTGTCGAAGGACACTTTTGGCGTGTAACCTTGTCCGGCGACAGACTGAGCCGTGTTCTGCTGCATGTTTACTGACGGGGACCGCGAGAGCGATGCTGAAGAGGACAAGAGGGGTGGCAGTCGCGATGTGGATGCTGGTGGGGTGAGGAACGAAGAAGGAAGAGGGGTCAATAGTGGCGACGACGGCGTGGAGGATAACGGAAGCAAACAGGGTGAGTTCGGCTGGGACGATTGCTTTAGTGCCGAGCGTAAGCACATGATTGGAATGTGGGTGTGCTGTTCAGACATTGGCGGTGTGATAAAGAATTATTTATCAATTTCATTGATAAGATGTTACATAGCCAACGTAACATAAATAATAATCATATTATTAACTCTTACCTAACTTTGATCTCCAACTCTCATGTCGGCTTCCCGTTCAGCTAGTCCTACGGAGGAGATAGATAAAGACCAGGTCGAGCAACGCACGGAGGTGACACCCGAGTCCACTGGCGAGTCAACCTCCCCAGAGGAGTCTGCTGAACCTTCAGATACAGACCAGGACGCCACAAACGCTCATGCTCACCTCCCAACAGCGGGATCATGGCAAGCCATATGGTCTCCTGAGCACAATACCTATTATTTCTACAACTCAGAAACCAAAGAAACGACTTGGGCAAACCCCCTTCAACCCGCTACCTCTGAATCAGAACCTTCTACATCCCAATCTGGTCCTTCCACAACAATAGACTCTCACTACGCAGCGCTGCAAGCGAACGCGATGGCGCAGGGTATTGATCCATCCTTAGCCCATCTTGATCCGTCACTTGCTTCCTCGTCTGGTGTTCCTAGCAATTTTATGTACACCGCAAAGTTCAACGCGAGGACTGGTGCTTTTGCGAAGGCGGATAGTCGCGATCCTACTCACTTGTCAGAGTATGAGCGTGCTAAGCGCATGAGCGAGTTCTACTTTGACGTTGGTGCTTGGGAGAGGGATGTCGAGGCTCGCAACAAGGCTGAGATTGAGGCCGAGGCCGAGGGAGAAGGCAAGAAGAGAAAACGTCCGACGAAGAAAGATCTGGTAAGATCAGACATCGCTTTCGTTCATATCGGGTGTTGATTTCAATTTCACAGGAGCGTTTCAAGGAACAGAAGAGATTAAAGAAGATCGCAAAGACGGCATGGCTTCGGACGTAGACACCCTACTTACTGTCGTATTAGAAACACGAATTCAAAGCAGTCTGGCAGCATTAATTTCCTTAGTTGTATATAAAGAAAAGCTCGTCAGCCGGATTATTGTCAGTGTTCAAAAGTACAACCATCTTCAGGTCTACGATGATAGGTAAATGCTAATAGCCACCACCTGGCGATATCACCATTAGTGTCCATAGGTATGTCCATTATTGTCATGCATCATTTTCGACGATACCCTACGTCGCGAAAACGCCAATGATTTTGAAAGCAGGAACACTTTGCCCCTCTTCTCCAAGTACCACACAGTCGACATAGTGCGATCCTCGAGAAACAAATTGATCAATCACCGCAAGGCTTGATGATCCATCAATGACCGCACAAACGAAAATAAAACAAGACACTCACGTCGGTACCCCTTCACTAACGTCTCCTGCATTTTCTATAACCACCGCACCTCCAAAATTATCATCCACCCAACACTCAATCTCACTTCCCTCCCCAATCTGGCTTATAGGCTCTTTCAAGTAATAAATCCCGACATCTCCAGCGCCTACTTTGACAGGTACGCGTAACCTGCTTGTGGGCTGCGTGCTATACCAATAATATCCAGTCGTAAGCAAAGGAGAGGACCCTGCCGGAGGATGCGCCGCTGCCCAACCAGACCCGTAGAAAAGCGACGGAGGTACGGGGTTCACGAGGTCATTAGCAGATGCGCAAAACGGCGCGACCTCTTCGAATGGCCGCGACTCTCTAGGGCGCGTATTAATTCGAACAGGAGGAATTCGCAGTTCGGGGTAGATCGGTACAGGCTGAGATCCTGCTTGGGCAAGAGCTAGTGCGTGTTTTTTCTCGGCTTCTGCACCGTCATCTACCGGGCGTGGTGGTTCAGGCACCGCAGCACCTTTCCTTGCGCCGATACCACCAAAGAGATGCGTGTCTGCACCTGGGAGGTAGCCATGTGACATCATGATAGGAATAGTCTCGTACGAGTGACCACCCGCCGTTGACCACGCGGCACATATCTGAGATTGGAAGTATGATATGAGAACGTCAGTGAGAAGTTCATGACCGGTCGGAGTCGCAAGGATGGGGTCCGCAAAGTAAGGCTTAATGAAGTCAGGGTTTGACATGTAAGACGGATATAGTATGGGTTTGACGCTTTACATATAAATGTGCGTCAGAAAACATTCTTTTGGCAAGTGACGAAATTGTACCTGATATGCGGCACGTCATAGAATTGTGCGACAACATTGTGCCAGTGGTCAGGCCCTGCAAATCCATATGCCTGGTGTATCTGTGAACTAAAATGCCCCAGAATGATGACTGCAGGTTGATCAGGGCGGTCCAATATTGAGCGAACCAGCAACTCGAATTGTTCCATCGCACGCCGGGTGCTGGTAGAATTGAGACACCACATAACACTTCAGCTGGAGATCTGTGCTTACCCTTCATCGTCGACGTCAAATTCGAGTATCACCAAATCGGTGTTCTCTGGGATATGATGCGAGCTACAGAATCCAAAGTAGCCCGAGTTTGTTCGCCTCATAGCACCGTTTGTAAGCTCTGAAGCCGGATGAGGGAAAACGCTCGACCACCACTGGAAAAAGCGTGAAGGATAGCAGGTAGGAGACAATGGATCATCTCCTGCTGCATGACATGCAGATACTACGCAATTGCACCATCAAGATAGGTTTTTTGACGAGATAAATAACACGTACCAGAACCACCAAGCACACTGATAGTCACAGGTTGACCCAAAAGCGCCTTATGAATAACCCGGTGCACCCTCCCCCCACTCCCCAAATGCAACCGACTTTGCGCCAACGGCACCACTCCGTACTTATTCGCAATTTCATCTTTGGGCCCAAACACAGGACAAAATTCAAACGGGTTCGCAGCCTCGGATGAATTGCCGATAAGGTAGTTTGCATCATGCAAGTAATTCTTTGGTACGAGGCCTTCTGTCGTAAATGACCCAGCGCGCGTATGGTTTGAAAAAGATATATATCGCGATACCGCAACGAGTAGGATGAATCCGAGGATGATGGCCCATATTCTATTGGTGACGCCTAGCCGCCTCCACCTATTAGTGGGCCTAGCAGGATCTAAGCCCATGCCCGTCAATCGGTGTGGATTGGGAGGGGAGATGCGCGCCAAACCCTTTCCAGAGCCTGAGCGTCGTTGCATAAAACCTTTGAGACAAAAAAGAAAAAAATACCGTATAGGCTGCCGATATACGAAGCTAAGGCAAGATGAGTCAATATTGCTTAACTCCGCATTGAGGTTGTTAGGAACGGAAAATAAAATAATGGACACTGTGGGAGTTGAACCCACGACCTCACGCAATCTTGTGATGCGAAGCGTGCGCGCTACCAACTGTGCCAAGTGCCCTTTACGAGAGGGGGCTTGTATAGCATTTCGAACAGGTTACTCTATCTAGGGCGCCTTACCATGAATATTTGCTCTTGCGTGAACTGTAAAGGTATGCGTGATAACTCCTATATCATTCATCCTTTCAATCACCTGAAGCTAATATTATGGGTGACGTCTGGTATTCCACTCAGATCAGGAAAAGTCTTAGCGAGCCAATTGCAGTGGGGAGAAGCACCTTCGAAATTCCACAGAATCATATTGCATCTCTAGCGCTACGCACATGCCTCCGTAGGGATACACCATGCAAACCAAATAAACTCGACGCAATTAACAAATTATGTTATCCAGATTTTGTCCATGTCATGTCCGAATGTCCGAATGCATCATAGCTCGCTCATCTCCCTATGATGCTTCACCTTCACAGAATCTATATTCTGCGAACGGTCGGGCATGCGCTCCCAGATGGGATCTACATCGGGACCATCTATATCACCTGCGCCGTCCCAGCCCCAACACCATACTGTATGACTCGTGAGTCGAGGGATAGAATATAGAGCGTTAGGACGTACCGTGCGAAGGCCCGGGCACAAAATCTATCTCTTCGGTTTCCTCTGGCGTGAACAAACGGTCATGAGGACCAAACCACGACCGGTCCTGTGGGTCTGTCCGTGGATTGTCCGGAAGTCCCCCAAGACGCACATAACCTCGGATGGCAGTGAGGTTCCGTCTTGAAGGATGTATGATATCAAATACTCTCTGCAAAAAAAAAAGATAAATCCATCAGATGTCAAATTCCACTTCAACCGAAAACATACTTTATCATATGCAAGCTTCACCCGCGGCACCATCAAGATACGTCCATATCCAGCCTCCCAGTAATCATTGCAGATCAAACTGCACTCTGAAGCAGAACACTCATCGTCTGTGAGTCGAGCCATGCGAAATTTGATATATGGGGGTGTATAAAATGGAGCAGGGTCCAGGACTGCGACGCCATTCCAACACGACTGAACCTGTATGGGAAGGTGCATCTGGAAACGTCCGGAGGAGTTGGGATCATGGAAAACGCTTTCGAACGGAGCATTTTCCAGCGCTGTTCCGTTGATATCGCGAGCGACCCAGTTATCATAAAACACGGGGGAGGCCTATATAAGAATGAGCTCAGGTTGTGAGTGCAATGATGGTACTTACCAGTTCTTGATGATACATGTAATCCGAAGCACAAGTTATACCTGCGTTATTCCGTCGACTCTGCCAAATAAGCTCAAGTAGGTCGTCTACGCATGGGAGGATATCGTTCATAAATATGATAGTATCAAAGTACTCGTTATGCGAGTCGCGAAGCTCGTGGAGTGGGTTAAACGCCTGGTTGCGAACCTCTGCAAGGTACTCTATACGATGGTTGAAGGCACCTCGTGTACGTGTAGAGGTTCGAATGGTGACACGTAGGCCTACGCTACGAGTCAGCGCGTCGAATATCCGTAGCAGCGCCTTCGTCTGGTCTGTCGAACCATTTTCGTATATGGAGACATAGACGTTGTGATATCCCAAAATAGCAGAGACCCGAAAAAGAGTCGCGAATAAGTCAGGAATGACATCGAAGGAATTGTACAAGTTGATGGCGAAGAAATATTTGTGGTCTTTCTTTGGAACGTTGTGTACGTGTTGCGAGTCGGAAAAACCCCAGGAAGAGAACCAGGTGGATTCGGAGGGTGTTTTGTGTCCTATGAGAGAATCATAACGGTCTCGGACCTGTTGAACGTAAAGCGGCTGGGAATTTCGTGTGCACTCTGTGGTATGGTGTGGGGACAGCGTGGAGAGCAGGTCTAGGACACGACGGCGTTGATCGATGCTGGGAAGGGTTATTTGTTTGCGAGCGGACAAGCGAGACACAAATATGGGGTTGTTCCCGCCCGTTGACAAGAGCTACAAAACAATCAAACCTTGTCATGATAGTAAAACGGTCAGAGTATAAACAGACACACGCTTGTTGGAAGCGTTTTGCCAATGAGCAAGCCCAGTAATAGCCCAACCACGAGTACCAAAGGAGTTGGCACTCGTTTTAACTGTGACCAAAATGTGTTTTGTTGCATGGTGGATGTAGGAGATAGACGGTGAAGTGCGACCCTGGAATATTAGATGCAGTGCTCAATATTCGTCGATGCAGCCCATGAAAAGGGGCGTAGGCTTGGCAGCAATTTCTTGTGATCTGCAGAAGAAGGCCAACCTTGGAGCTTGGTGAGTGACGAATCGATGACGGTGTGAAGTACGCAAGTTCAACTTCAAATTGAGTCGGAGGCGAGTAAGACTGGGCGCTTGTGCACACAAATTCAAATAAATTGCCTAACATGGCGTCCAAGTAGATGAATGACGGAGTTCAACTACAATAGATGGCTATATAACCCCATAAATCCCTCCTCTAATCGAATCGTATGCAAGAAATCAATCAGGTAATCGTGACTTAATGCTCAACGTCAACCTTCGAAACGCCGTGACAAGGACTATCAAGTCCTAATGCGCAAAGAATGCGAAAGAATAATGATAGTGAGATGACTTTATAATGATGCAGCCAGGATGGCAAAGGCTGCTGCACCAGTGAGTATGTTAATGCTATGCGATGATGCAGCGTTGGTGGACCTGGTTTTCGTCGAGTTTTTTAATTGCAGAAAAATAAAATGAAAGAAAAACTGACGAAGGGTTGGCCGTGGTAGCGGTATCGTTGGATGATGTGGTAGCCGTTGCAGTATCACTGCTAACGGTCAAGGTGACGCCCTGCATTATACACTTCAGCACACATTCAAGAAACAAGGATATATACAACATACCACTGCAGCACAAAGCGATTGGGAAGCAGCTTCGGCATTTGTGAGGTCAGACCCCGTGCATGATGCCTGAATACAGGACGTGGTGCTGTTGATGAAAGCCTGGCTGTGACAAAGACAACTATCGTCGGTGGAAGAACAGTTGCCAAAGTCAGCATTTGTCAGACACGGAACAGCGCAATCTGACAATGAAAAGCTATTAGATACTGTGGTAAGACGACCAAGAAACAATAAGACATACTCGGCAGGCTTTGACGTGTGATCAATGCCGTAAACGCAGACTCGACAACGAAGGAGAGAGCAAGAACGATGACAGCAAAGCGCATTGTGGATTAAGTGAAAGAGTATGAAGGAAGAAGACGAGATGAACAAGAGGAATTCGAAGAGACCTTATATAAAGCTACAGAATAATGAACATGTACATGCATGGCAACAAAACAGACAAGGGAGACAAAGCAAACTTGTAAATCCAGACTTAATCTTTATCCTATTTTTAGCTCTAAACCATTATTTACTTCCGCATTGTTGTACTTATCACGTGTTTCGGTTATAACCGAGAAACTATCAAGTACCTCAGCCACTCAAACCTTATGTCATCACTACAGTAGCCAAACACAACCAAAGTCAGCGCGACATCTGTAGTTCCAGTTAGACGAGCTCGTCACACTATACATCCTCAAGACATGGTATGTAGCATCCTTGCTCTACCATTCGAATAAACTGATTCCAACCTTTTGTAGGCCAGGACAAAAAGCGGCAAAGTATGTTGCATCATGACCTTCACCTGTGATAGATCTTTACATCTTATCATAGACTGGCGGCAAGCGCTCCGCTCTTCAAGACGTTGTAACTCGTGAATACACCATCCATCTCCACAAGCTCGTGCATGGCCGCTCCTTCAAAAAGCGTGCACCATGGGCCGTAAAATCCGTGGTCGATTTCGCTCGCAAGTCAATGGGCACAACTGATGTTCGCTTGGACCCCAAGCTCAACCAGGCATTGTGGGCTCGTGGTGTCAAGAGCGTCCCCCACCGGATAAGAGTAAAGCTTGAGCGTACGTGCTGTATTTTCAAACTGGTTATAATACTGACGGTCTATTTTTACAGGCAAGCGTAATGATGATGAGGGCGCAAAGGAGAAGCTTTACACGTATGCCAGCCACGTAGTTGTGACCTCGTTCAAGGTGTGTATTCTACCTCTGCTATTTCTCCTGTCCTCGACAACAACCTTTTTTCACCTAGGGCCTCCAAACCGCTGTTGTGGACGCGGAGTAAGGGCTGTCGCCGGAAGATCCTGTGTAGTCCTTTTTCACATATTTCATGCCGCCATGCATCATCACATCCAGCACTATGCTACTCCATCAAAACTTTCGCGCATCTTGATGCTGTCCATGAATTTGAGTTTCTCTGAAACATCTCAAGCTATTGTTCTTGCCCGCCCAGCCAGGATCCTGCGTTGGCCTTGAAAAGCACAACCCGAGATATGCTGGTTTTCTGAAGCAGACATTGATCGGTGGTGGAACCACCTCAAAGTTGTGACAATGCGAATATGAATATTTTATTTGGCCGCCATCTACGCTCACATAAGCTGAGGTATCTACCGGGATATTAGTAGTCACGTGATTAAACACTGGATCGATCCTATTCTATTCTGAATCTCCTTTAGTAGGTGACTTTGCTTTTTGTCTGATCAAGCCTTGCCATTAAGAAGCGAAAGTGTCCTTCGCTCATTCAAACGTCTCTCGTATCAATCTGGCAATTGACCTGGACCACATATCCAGCCATTATGCATCGGCTGCCAGTAGAAGTTCTACAGGCGGTATTCTTACTCCTCGTCAATGACATACCGAATTGTCCTAGTAGTATCTTCTCAATTGGGACAACCACCATGTCAGCAAATTTTGCTAGCCCACCCCTACTCTTCACTCGAGTGTGCCGCCATTGGCGAGACGTTGCACATTCAACGCCAGAGATCTGGTTGCGCATCAAGGTCGAGCTTCCCGGAGCACTCGTCCAGCCACTTAAGCCGTTCTTTCCCTCTCTACTCCAGTGTTGGTTAGCCCGGTCTGGAAATCTGCCTCTTACCATTCGCATAGAACAAATTATCACCTCAAACCTATCATATTCCCGGGCCCCCCATGATGGGAATTCTCGACTACTCAAGATTATATATGATGAGATGAGACGTTGGGAAACA